GTTAGTAGGGAAAGCATGACTCATTTAACAACTGTAGCGATTCGTTTAACAACTGTGGCCAAAAAAAGGTCATAAAAAGGTGGTACAACCCACTTAATAACCGTCTTGCTTAGCGATGGAAATTTAGAGTTCAGTTGCTTTTTTGCCACCGGTTTTTTTTTTTTTTTTGTATTTCTATTTGCAGATCTTTGCATTTTGTGAGTTTTCTCCAGTTCTTTTTCTTCTCTTCCGCTGTCTCCAGGTGGTGCCACGTCCACGATCCAGACCTTTTTTTTTTTTTTTGTGTCCTTCTTATCGACAATTGTCAAGTTCTGGGCTGTTTTGTGGCAGGCGCCTGTCTGTTTGAGCTCCAAAGTCCCAGAGTACTTTAGCTTCCTCATTTTGTGTTACTTTGTCTATTTTCTGCTCTTAGAAAAGCTCTGGCTTGCAGGCAAATGGTGGGGTGTTTTTTTTTTTGTTTTTTTTGTGCAGATTCTTCCATTGTTGCGACTTTGTCATGCCGCTGGCTAAACTGTCAGTCCCCGTGGTCTTCTTGCAGGGGCTCCCCAATTGGTACACTGTTTCTTCAGCTTCTTTGCGGAAATAATTAATTACCGTAGCATTGCTACATTTTTTAAAATCCCCTGTCTTTTTATATTTGTTTATCAAATGTATTTCCTGCCTGGTTCAAGTGACTTTTACATATAATGCAAGGCAGCGAATGTAACTTAATCCTTTGGCCAGCCTCCTGTACCCCACAACGACAACCCTGGGGGGCAGAGAGGGAGGGAGGGAGGGAGGGAGGGAGGGAGAGAGAGAGAGAGAGAGAGAGAGAGAGAGAGAGAGAGAGAGAGAGAGAGAGAGAGAGACTGGCTCACCCAGCCGACTTTCATGCTCAAAGCAGAATTCAAACTCTCGCCACCCGATCCTTACAGGGCCAGCTGATGAACCCCTAGCCAAGCACGGGGAGGATCTGAAGGGATCTGAAGGGATCCTGGAACTAAGGAGAAACTTCCTGACGGAGAGAACGATTAACCAGCGGAACGGCTTGCCGCCAGAAGCGCTGGGGGCTCCATCCCTGGAGGCTTTTAAGAAGCGACCGGACAGCCGCCGGGTATGGAACGGCTTGAGCAGGGGGTTGGACTAGAAGACCTCGAAGGTCCCTTCCAACTTCATTCTGATTGATTGATTGAATGAATCAGAGACTCCGGCAGGGCCCCAGGCACCGTCCCTTCTGCCCCATTTGGAATGGAGAAGGGCGAACCCACCTCCGCCCGTCTTGTGGGGAGGGGGATATCCAGCAGACCCCCCACCCGGAACCGGAGACCCCGGGCAAGGAGTCGGGGGGGGGGGCTGCAGGGAGGCTGACGGGAGGCCGCAGCGCCCGGGCGCGCTCTATCTACGGGACCGTCCACCTGCTGGAGATCTTTACCTGGCGACAGCGGCGTCACGGGCGCTCGATTTTCCAATTGGTCGCCCCGCGGGCGGGGCCGCCCTTATCAGCAGACGGCTGAGCTAAATTGCCCCTGGGCGGCGCGCAGC